TGCTCTCTAAAACTTTGGGTATATGCGTTCGCAGTAGAGAGCTCAAAGCCAGGGATACCAGCAGCATCCAAAGTAAAATAAAATCAGATTGCAGCTGTGTTAGTTATGGCAATGTCTCTGCAAAGGTTAGCAACTGCATCAAGGCACCACTCTTTGTGTCTGTGCCTTTCAGTCCTTTTCTGCCTTTGTTTCACTTTCTGGGCCAGTTCACTTCTTCACTCCCTTTCTCCAACCTACTCATCCTCTGCGACATGTTCCTAAATTTCCCAAATACAAACCCACTTGATTAACTGCAGTATTTTATATGACACAGTTCACACTCCTGCTGTGTGTTCCTGCCATCTTTCCTGTTTCGATCTACACCATTCTTTTTTCAAATCCAGATATTTTAATCTTTTCCCAAAACATTTCATTTGAAACATGAGCTTGAGGTGATTAGAGGTGATTGGATGCAACTAACTGTACTTATAGAAAAACAAATCATGGAGGCTCTCAGACTCAAACATCCCTGATGGAGTCTGGTGCATAAATATTCAGCAGCTTATTTCAGATAAGATATATTTTGTTTATGCCAGAAATTTTGAGAAATTACTGTGTTACAGCAGGCAAAACATTAAAAACACATACTAGCTCAATAAAATTGAGTACCACAAAACAAATATGTTGTTTCTCCTTATATGCTCTTATATTCAATATTCTAATCCAGATTCATTTAGATTTTTGCTTACTATGCATGACAGTGAGTTTTTCTTCTTTGATTAAGATGCCAAAGGACATTATAATCTGTGTGTGAATACTCCATGTTATTCTTTGTGGAACATTTAGTGAAATCAACTTTCACCTACTTTACTTTTGATTTCACTTCAACAACGAAGCTTGATAAAAACACTAAACAGTGATACATTGTCAAATATACCCCAACATTTTGTGATACTTAATTGGAGGGTGTATTGCTAGCTCTACTTAAACAGGTTTATTGCATTATATATTTTTTATTTGATTAATTTACTTGGATATTAAAGGTCCTTAGTTTTGAAAAATCCACCGTGATTTTTGTTTGTAGCTAAAAAAATCAACACTGGCAGGCAAAAAAAAGAAAAAAAGTCAACACTAGAAGAAATCCAAAAACGTATTTTTATAGCTGTACTTTTTGCACAAATAGCTGAGTTCAAAGGCTTCAAACTGAACAGTCATTTCCGTTCAGTTCAATTCAGCTTTGTTTATATAGCACCAAATCACCTCAAAGTGCTTTATATTGTAAGATAAAGACCCTACAGTAATAGAGAGAAAACCCCAATAATCAAATGACTCCCTATGAGTAAGCACTTTGTTGTCAGTGGGAAGGAAAAACTCCCTTTTAACAGGAAGACACCTGCAGGAGAACCATCCATCTGCTGCAACAGGTTGGAGTGAGCGTGACAAAAGACGCTCTATTGAAGAGAGCCAGATTAAAATTAAGTAATGATTAAATGTAGAGTGGTGTGTAAACACAAAGAGAGTGAGGGAAGAAGAAGCACTCAGTGCATCATGGGAAGCCCCCAGCAACCTAGGCCGTTTGTAGTGCAGACAGGAGGTTAATCTGATCCAATCCTGAATATAAATATTATAAAATAGGAAAGTTTAATCCTAATTACAGTAGAATCCAAACTCGGAGCTGGTTCCATAGACGAGGTTCCGGAAAGATGAAGGCTCTCCCTCCCATACTCCTTTTAAATATCCTAGTAACCACAGGTAAGCCAGCAGTCCAATAGTAAAATGCTATGTTGGAGTTATATGCTACTGTTAGGTCTTTAAGATTAGATGGCGCCTGACTGTTCAAGATTTTTTGATTCAAAATTTTAGAACATGGCTCAATAACCTTAGTTTTATCTGAATTCCCTTTGAAACAAGCAAACGTGCAGATCTAACTATAGACTATCAGCCTTCATTCTAATGAGGATTTCTAAATGAGTGCATTTAGGTATTATGACTCTGTCCTTCCAGTGTGCTGCTACCTCCACACTTGCATCTTCTTAAAAAAAATGGTATAGCAGTGTCAGACATACCACAGTGCTGATGGAAGTACCTATTTTAGACTACAGCATGAACACAGTGTGTGTTAGTCCCTTACATCCCTGAGTGTCCTTTCCAGCTGTTGCAACAGATGTTGCCCAGACAAAAATGGAGCACGTTACCCCTGGAAAATATGATAGTACTCTGCATGTCACTGGAGAACAGACAAAAGTTTCAGCTCAGTGATTTGTCTCATGTCAGAGAAGATATTTTAAGTGAAGTTGAATCACATTCACTTTCTCTCATATTGTCACCTTGGTGAGCTCATAAAAACCAGAACAGATCCATTAAATGGCAGGACAAATCTTGACACTTACTTGTGGAGATTCATAAATACCATTCTGGTGCTGCATCATCTAATCCATTTTTCTTCAAAGGGTTTGTGGCCCAGATATATCCCACTTAATGTCTTGAGGATTTATTAGTTATCATCATGAAACCAGGCAAATGTTGACATATTCTAGGGTTTTATGTCTGTGAGCATCTATGTGGACTTCAATCAAATCGAGAAAAGGGATGCACTATAATTGTACTGTGATTTGCAATATTTAAAGTTCAAAGCAGGGTCTCCTTATTATGAAGAAAATATTTACAAATGGAACATTAACTAATATACCTTTCCAGTAACTTAAACGCTCTCTGTGATGTTTCTGTCATCTCTGAAGGGATCTGCATTTTTGGCAAATAGTTTTTAAACTTCCCTTCAAGTCGATTAAAGGGAGCCAATGGCTTCTTGGCATCTTTGACCATCGTGACATTTTGTGATATGAAAAACCTGAAGATTTCATACTGAAGTGGCTGCCATGCTTGGATCCAGATACTTGAGCTGTTGAAGTATGCAGATTAGAAAACACCCATTTACCATTTTATAATCAATCTGAAGACTTAAGAATATCTAAAAAAAATGTATTGTACAAACCAAGAAATGCTTTAAAAGACAAAAACAGAATAAAATGGTGTGTTAAATCTTAATTTAGATACCTGAAGGCATCAACAGGCATTAGCGGATTATTGGTAATTTATGTTGCTGTCTTTGATTTCTTTTTCTTTAATGATTTCTCCAAATTGGCTGTTTGAACTAGTATTATTTCCATTCTTTTCATTTTTACTACTCACACTCATACAAATGTCTCAAGTCAGTCAAAAGTCACACAGCTCAGAGTTAATCAATGCTTAGGATGGTTATAGGCTGCAAACACAGAATAACAAGTGAAATGATTTTGACACCATTTACAGAGCCGTGGCTAACCAAACAGTCAAATAACACATGCTTGGATGGAGTATTAGTAATACCGTTTTGCAAATGTGATCCACAATACTAACTTATGCATGTGAACAGTGGTCAGCTGGTCAGATTAGTTAATCACCACCTGACTGGTCAAACCTTACACCAATGACTTTTTATGCTAATGTTTTCACACACAAACACAGAGCATTTCTTTCACTGTCGACTGTAACTGCTGTTTGCCTGAACTTCATCTTGATCTTAAACCAGGTCTTCTTGTTAAAATATAATATTTACCTTATAATAACCATAGTGCCTGCAGTGTGACTGTGTAAGAGTCGTGGTCCCCCAACAAGAATAATACTCACACTAAGGTTACACTAACCGCGTATAGCCATTATTATAATCCACTCTTTGTTTTTGTCCCCTGTGCAGGAGCTGGAGGTTGGTCTCCTCTGGTCTCAGACCGATACCAGTGGTTGGAGGTGGACCTGGGGAGGAGAACCCAAATCACTGCTGTTGCCACGCAGGGCCGCTACGGCAGCTCTGATTGGCTCACGGCCTATCTGTTGATGTTCAGTGACACAGGACACAACTGGAGACAACACCGGCAGGAAGACAGCTTAGGGGTAACTCTTCTTCCGGTGGCAGGATTACATAGTAGTGTTGGGTGTGCAACATATTTGTGCAGTCACCTGATGGGAGTATGGATGTCCATGTCAATCCATCATCTTGTTGTAGAAAAGTACATATTTTTTAACTGATCGTGACAAGATCATAGATATTTAACAAAAAGTGCACACAAAAAGAAACCCCCCACATGTGTTATATAATACAGATTTTAACAGCTAAAAATACAGTTTGTCCAGGCAGTGACACTCTACAATCACACACAGTTGACCTAACTGTCATAGACATTATTTAACATTATCTGTGGGGACTGGTGCTGCCTGCAGCAACATGGCGTGCTCACCAGGAGCCTTTCACTATTTATTAATAATACATGGAACAATGAAAGGAACTTGGGCAGGAGTCTGTTGACGGTGTGGGTCTGCTGTCAGACAGTTTAGCCTGTGCTGACAGGAGGTTGGTGCTGTTATGAGAAAGACCGCCTGGCGTAGAAAAACTCCCAGCTTTGATGCCTGAAAGATGTCCATCACCAGTCTGCAAGCAGGTCGCTGAATGGGCGCTTCCGAGCTCAGCCGCTTTCGTGTGGCGGCTCTTAAAATGTAAATGTGCAGAAAAATTGGTGAGAAAGCTCGCTGAGAAAAGCACGCGGTGACTTAAGTACCTAGTGTTGCGGTTGCTTTACGTCTAAATATATTCCCCATTTCTTTTTCTCTCTTTAATTTTTTATTTTTCCAGTGTTGTTTCAATAAAAAAGAGAATACTAGACTGGGAGAATGACTGATCACCAATGAGCAAAGTACAGATGTCAGAATGACAGGCAGCCATGCAAACCTCGGCTGACTGAAGAACATTTGATATGTCACGCGTCTCCTCCCTTCTGTGTGGAAGAAAGTGCAGCTTTCACTACAGCAGCAACCCAAAGAAAACTTTTTTTCCCCTCACATTTGACTGGGTACAACTTTTTCACAGTGAAGGATACAAACTCTCCAAAGCCCTTCAAGTCATCACTAAAGAACACACTCCTTGTAGCTTAAAAACATGTTGATTTGACAGTCAGCATGAAAGGCTGTGAATCCACATCAGCTTTTAGAGCACTTTTAAAGCTTCGTATATTAGTCAGGCTTGCTTAGCGTCTCTGTGATGGTGAGAATTTTACTGCAAAAACAGCTGCATCAGTCACAGCTTCTCACTGACTTGTGAGGTAAAGGTAGAAACAAAGTCTCTACTCAGGTTACTTTCATTTATTTGATGGTTAGAGTCGCTAACTACTTCATGGATTAAAAATAGAATAAAATTACATCCCATCATCAAGCAAATTGCATGTGGAGTCTTACTTTATGATGCCACATGTTTCAAATGTTTTAAAGTGTGATTCAAAAGGTGACTGTGCCTATAGAAAACAAACACAAAAATGACATTAATTAACCTTTTATCATTCACTCTTACTTTTTTGGATGTTTTCTTGAAGTCCCAATCTGACCATTTGCATTTCACCATTTTTCTTCAAACTTGAGTATGCACTAAGTTGTTGTGGGCGGGTCTTCCATCCATGATCATGACCTATCCTTCCCCATCATTCTGCAACAAAGGAGTGGCTAAAGGAGAAGCACATTAAGCTCATGGAGTGGCCCAGCCAGTCTTCAGACTTCAGTCAGCTAGAAAATCTGCAGAGAGAGATGACATTTTCGGTGACATAAAAATCAAATTAGAACTTTCATGTAATGTGTTTTATTTCTAGATTTTTTCACTGATATTCTGTCTCTCTCCATTATGAAACTACCAAAGAGACTGTTCATTCCTTTAGAAGTAAGCAAACTTACAAGTTCAGCAAGTGATCAAAGAATTGTTACCCCCACTGTACAGTGTATCTCTGGCTTCAACCCAGATACCAAACAGCAATCTCAAATCCTAAAGAAAGCACATCATGTCAGAAGCATGACCAAGACAATACTTGTCATTAAATTCGACCTTTAAGGAGTTATGCACTATGAAGGCATCCCTCAGCATCCCCAGGATTTCCTGTGCCACAAACATGCTTCTGGGATGCGATCCAAACATTGCTGGAAAACCAGACCACCATAAGAGGTATATCTGATTTTGGCCCATAGGGTGGCAGGCACAAGAGTTTGGTTGAGATTTAAAAGTCAGTGCGTCATTTAGAAGTTTTTTTTAAAGCCCACTTATGATAATTTACCTCCCTGATAAAGTAAAGAGGAGTAAATGAGGTTAACAAAGCTGGCAACTCTCCTCAGAACTTCCTAAGGAGCAAAAGTCATTAGCATGGCAACAAGTATATTTCAGCAAACACCCTATTTAATAGTGAATAATCTAGCTTCACTGTGGGCAGCTATGCAGTGAAATTCCTATGTTGACTGACATGTCACTTGAATAACGTGTCTGCCAACATTATTATACTGCTGATTCCAAACGTTCTTTTCTTGTAGCTCCTTTTAATGAAGGACTTTATTGCATAATTCAGTATTTTTATATTGTCTTGGTGGTACCAACTACGCCAGGCACAGTTCCTCTGCGATTCCTTTGTCATGCCCTCTCATCCTCTTCTTCGACTCATTCTCTAGCCATTCCTCTCTCCTTGACTGAAGGCTTGTCAGAGGCTACTCATATTTCAAAAGATGCTCAGGCAAGTAAATGAGATGCTGCTCTCCTCAGCAGGAAACAGAGCCATTTGTTGAGCTTAACGCTCTGCTGGCCAGCCGGCTCAGCCCTTCAAAGCACTGAAGACGGCACTGAGATCACAATTATGCAGTGCCAGAGAAGCCAATTTCTCTCACACAGTTACATCGGTACACCCTCAGCTGAGTTTCTCACACAAACACACAGGTAGCATCACACAAGCGCTCCAGATAGGACACAAGCAAAGGACATGCACAGGAACACATGGACATCTACTCTATACCATATATGCAGCTTGTTCTTCTTGTTTTCTTCTTACACATATTATTGCAGGTGTTTCTCTGTGTGTGTGAGCCCTGCTGGATTCCCACAGGCAGCTGATTGGGAAGAATAGAAGCCATTAGTCTTTTAAAGAGAGGCTTGCTACGGAGACAGAATAGGTCCAAGTTATTGATCACTGGACAGAGATGAGGGAGAGGGAGAGACATTATCATTACTTAGGATCAATGGCTTCGGTGAGTTCACAGTTTGAAAATGAAGACGGTCTCAGGGCAGAGGAGGTTTGGGAGACTTTTTCTTTCCACTGACAAAGAGATTTGCAGCCCTCGAATATGTAAAACTTTCAATGTATAATGGTCCTATCTAGCTTTTAGTCACCATTATGAACACTTGATGAGAAGCATATCTATCTGCTTTCCTGATAGAGGCATCACCCTTTAGTGTTTGTTATTGCTATTACATCATTATCACATTATTACATTGTTGTTGCAGCAATCAGCTGACTGAGACAGAGTGTAAGAATGAAGAAAACGGTAACTGTAACAAACATGTAACTGTATTGTTGCAGGCTTTTCCAGGTAACAGTAATGCTGACACTGTAGTCCAGTACAAACTGGAGCAGCCGGTCATAGCTCGCTTTCTTCGTTTAATCCCACTGGACTGGAACCCCAGTGGGAGGATTGGCCTCAGACTGGAAATATATGGATGTCGATATAGTAAGTAACTGTGAATTAAGTGTTATGTTATAGCAATTATAAATATATCCAATGTTTATTTTATCATAGAATATTTTGACCTTAAGTAACATATAATTATGTTATCAACAGTTAGTTGGTCTTGATTGCCTGTCTTGAAGTCTTTAATGCCTGACTGGCTTCAACTCATTTTGAATGCTAAAAATGTAAATGTGTTGTGGCATTAAAAGTGTCTTCTTTTAAAATATTACAAATGGCAGTTTTGGCTTGTTATTGTATTACAAGTATTTTGCTAGCAGCTAGTTTTGTATCTTAGAATGTAAAGTCAAACTTTAGTCAATTAATTAAAATCTTGATTTGTTGGATTAAATCTACACAGATTATCTCTATCAAATTTGGATTATGGTGTTTAAATGTGGTGCGGAAAAATAAGAAATGGTCCCTGGAACACCTTGAAAATTATATTAATCCTGTAGCATTATATACAGAACAAGATTGTTCATTGTTTTTTAGAAAAATAGATTTAAAATACTCCCACACACATAGGCTTTGGTTTGATTTTGCTCTGGTGTGTGATGTGAGTCATACAAACCTTTTGCAGTCAATTTAGAAACCATTAGTTCTTAGAAAAATAAGCAGTGCTATTCAAACACTAAGCCATGCACTAGAATTATTGGGTGTTGTGTGTGAGATGTACAGAGACTACATGGTTTTAATACAGAGTGCAATAAGAATTGAAACAATAGAAATGTACATGCAAAATGCCTTCAAGCAATCCAAGCATTTCAAGGCAGCAGCAGCAAGCTTTGCTTCTTTGTAACTGACTTAACTAAATGTCAGCCCTGTTACTTTATTATAGGTAGGGTACAACACAAAGCTATGGTTTGTAAAACTGTACTTCTGTGACCACAGGGCTTAAATTCAACTAGTGAAGCCTACTGATCAATCGCAATCGCCTCTTTATTTTAAAATATACTAAAGAAGTTTCACAAATCGAACATAGCATTGAACATAGCACCAAAAGGAATGGTCAACTCTGGGCTAAATCATATGGAAAAGTGATGTTAATGGAGTTAAATGTGCTTACTGAGTAAATAATTTCACCAAGAGATCCAAATCTGTCTAGAAATATCTTACAATTCTGTGAAATTCATGATGTTAGAAAAATGGTGGCAAAGACAGAGTTTGCACAGTTGTGTTAGTATTTGGTGCTAGTATGTTATTTAAAATGAATGAAATGTAAAGAATAAAACTTTTCCCTCTCCCACTTAATTTTGTTCTGTAGCTTCTAGCGTGGCAAGCTTTGATGGGAGCAGAAGTAGCCTGGTCTACAGACTGAGTGTGAGGGCAAGCTGGACTGTGATGGAGACTATTTCTTTGAAGTTTAAAACCCTGAAGAATTCTGGGACACTGCTCCATGCAGAGGGACAGCGAGATCACAGCCTCACGTTGGTGCTCGAGAAAGGAAAGCTGCTACTCTACCACCTACAGGGTAGGACACCGGTCTCAAAGAGCTACAGACATAAATTAATGCTTTGTTGTGTTTTCTTACATGATAAACATAACCCCAATAATGCTGAATCATTCTGCGAAATTGCAGTTTATAGTGATA